CTGTTTACTTTGAGCTCTACCTCATTGGAAGTCAATGGACTCGAGCCAGTAAGGACTTGGTCGGGGACATTTGACAAGCCATGGGGACTGTATTTGAGAATCTTTGGGTATGAGACCCTAGATTCCGGTTTACTCGAGTAATACCAATTCTGTACTGTGTGGTGTTCGGGCCCGGTAAGGGGAAAGTGAGGTGGACGGATAATTGGAGTAAAGAGGGGTCTACGGTCATGATTACCTGGTATACATTGACGGAGAGTCAATGAGATGAGATCAAGTATGGCAAAAGAGGAAAAGGGCTCCTGAGAGCCATCCGTATCCTTTTATTCCTTACACTTGGGTGTTATTGCTTTTACTTACTTGACGAACGTATTTGGACTGAATGCTCTTGAGTTTATGTGATCTTGGTATATGTACGTGATAGTACCTCATTGGGCGAAAGCTCACTCCGTTAAATTTTGTTTTCCTTACAGGGAATTATCTTTTGGACTTTTGACTGTGATGAGTAAGTTGAGTGGAGCTAGTCGAGAGATTTTGTATAGCTCCTCAATAGTTGGAACCTTTGTTGTACTTGGATTTAAATGCTTTCTTTTGGCTTGTAACCATACAAAAGTGGTTTGTAATAGGGTGTATTCCTATCCAATGGATTGTACTTGGCTTGTATATACTCTTTTCAGTGATTGTTGGAAATTTCTTGTAATCAATGGGATCTTGGCGGATTGTGACGTGGCAGCCACTATTCGCTTTACGTTTTGCCTTTTGTTTTCCCGTTTCTCATTTATTGGGTTGATTAAGCGCGCCAATATTTTCCCGAACGACTTGAGTTAGTGTTTGACCGTTTTAGTAGTCCTGGCGAGAGTTGGGCAGCCAGTCTGCTAACTCCTTTGGTACGCCTTAGGGGAAGGTGGGGCTGTCACACTTATTATTATCACTTCAAATCATATAATATTTCCTCATCCAAAAGTCACTCTTAAGCACCAAATTTGATCCTTGCTCCGTACCGAAAAATCATCCGGCGAAAAATCGCGAAAACCCTAATTTGCTCCAATCTTGAAAACGAAGAGTGAAACCCTACTTTTTAGGTTCATTTGCACTTATTGAAGAATGATTGAGTAGTAGGATCTTATTAAATGAATAATTTCCAAATAAAAGGAATTTTAAGAAAAGTGTGATGAATTTTACAATTCCATAGAGTAAAATTAGGGTTTTGAGTCAAATATGAGGGATTTAAACATAACCTACTAGTCACAAGTAAACTAGGGTTTTAAAGTACAAGTAAGGTTTCTAGTCTTGTTATAAAATAAAACAATGTTTTAAGACAAAAATAAAATAATGAAACCTTAATCCTTTCTTTGAGATTAAACAAAAATAGTATCCTAAAATTTGGGGTATCACAAAAGCTCTAGTTTCCCATCACCATGTAGCTGACATTGTTTCGGTGGGTAGGGCATCTAAGGACATGGCGGCAGTGGAAATGAATTTACCTGAAGCCAGTGTTATGATGGCCAAAGAGCTGATTCGAGGAGGTTATGAAATAGGCAAGGGCCTTGGGCGCAACCTACAAGGGGTCTTGGAGCCAATAGAACTTCAAGGAAAGAAGGATACCTTCGGATTAGGGTTTCAACCTACGGCCAAGGATAAGAAAGAAATGATAAATCGTAAGAGGGCAGAAAAAGAAGGAAAGCATCTTATCATGAGCATCCCACCGTTATACTGCACTTTTCCTTATCCATCGGAGGTGATTAGATCTGAAGTGGACCCGATCGAGGCAGTAGATGTTGGATTATCTGAGCTATTTGTGGGGGTTGCTGCTGAAGAGGAGCCATTGGAGGATCCAGGATTTCCAGAGGTGCCTATTGAAGCAATGAAAAACTGGACCAGTGATCTCCTTCCCTCCTGCAGGGAATTTCGGTAAATTAGAGGGTTGCCTTTGGACGACACGAGACAAATCGTTCACATTGCTTATCTTTTGTCTTTCAAGTTTGTAAATAGTTGTTAATCAAGTGTTTTCCAATGCAAATCTTGCGTTAAATTTCTTGTTAAGTAGCATGTCATGATGTTATCCTTTACTTTGAATTTCAATGAAATGCATAGTGTTTATTTTCCAAAATTGTTTTAACTTACTTACTATTGTATTTATTTGATTTTTTTTCAGATGGCCAAAAATAAAGCACATTGACCCTTTGGATATCACTATTCTGGAATTTGATGATTGTGATCTCGATATCCCTCACGACTTTGAAATTTTGGAATTCGAAATTCAAAACGAGAGCGATAACGAGGAAGAATCTGAGTCTGTATTAAAGGATCTTGAACAATATGAGGAGAAATCCAAACCGAACTTAGAAGAAACAAAAGTTGTTAATATTGGCACTGAGACTGAGGTTAAGGGGATAAAAATTAGCGTTCATTTGAATAAGAAACAGAGAAAAGAGATGATTGAGTTTTTGACCATGTTTCAAGATGTATTTGCCTGGTCCTATGATGATATGCCTGGAATTGCAACAGATATAGTGGTCCATCGATTGCCAACTGATCCAAATTTTCCGCCAGTGAAGCAAAAACCTCGCAAGTTTAAGCCAGATATGAGCCTCAAAATTAAAGAGCAAATCGAGAAGCAGCTCAATGCTAGAATTATTATGGTGTCTCATTATCCCATTTGGCTTTCAAACCCTGTACCTGTTCCGAAGAAAAGTGGAGAAGTGCGAGTCTGTGTTGATTACAGGGATCTTAATAAAGCAAGCCCGAAAGATGACTTTCCGTTGCCAAACATCCATATTCTCCTAGACAATACCGCAGGACATGAGATCGCATCATTTGCTGATTGTTTTGCCAGGTATCACCAAATCTTAATGGCCGAGGAGGACAGGGAAAAAACTGCTTTAATCATGCCCTGGGGGACATTTTGCTACCGAGTAATGCCATTTGGATTGAAAAATGCCGGCGCCACCTATCAAAGGACTATGACCACCCTGTTCCGCGATATGATTCATAAGGAGATGGAGGTTTATGTGGACGATATCATTATCAAATCCGAGAGAGCGGAGGATCACTTGATTGACTTGGAAAGGTTATTTGAAAGATTGAGAAAATATGATTTGAAACTAAACCCTGCAAAGTGTGCATTCGGGGCCCCTGCCGGAAAGTTATTGGGATTCATTGTCAGTAAGAAAGGTATAGAGATAGACCCGGCAAAAATTAAAGCCATTCGTGAGATGCCAGTGCCAAGAACGCAAAAGGACGTGAAGAGCTTTTTAGGGAAGATTAATTTTATTGGGAGATTCATCGCTCAGTTGACCCACACATGTGAGCCTTTGTTCAAGTTATTGAAGAAAAATGTGCCACTACATTGGAGTAAAGAGTGCCAGCATGCGTTTGATAAAATTAAAGACTATTTGTTACACCCCCCGGTTTTAGTGCCACCCAAACCCGGGCGACCTTTGATCATGTATCTATCGGTGTTGGACGAAGCTATGGGATGTGTATTGGGACAACACGACGAATCGGGGAAGAGGGAGCAAGCCATCTATTACCTCAGTAAGAAGTTCACTGCGTATGAGGCCAACTATTCTTTTCTTGAGAGAAGTTGCTGTGCCTTAGCTTGGGCCACTCAAAAGCTGAGGCATTACTTGCTCAGTCATACTACTTACCTCATTTCCCGCTCCGACCCTTTGAAATATCTGTTGGGAAAGCCTATGCCAACTGGGCGTATGGCAAAATGGCAGATGATTCTTTCGAAATTTGACATTATTTTTACTACACAAAAGGCAATCAAGGGCCAGGCTGTGGCAGACCATTTGGTTGAAAATCCACTGAAAGATGATTATCAACCGCTTCACACTTATTTTCCGGATGAGGAGGCCCTGTTCGTGGGTATAGCAGAAGTTATGAATGATCAATGCCCAGAGTGGAGATTGTTCTTTGACGGTGCGTCAAATTCGTTCGGGGCCAGTATTGGAGCTGTTCTAGTATCGCCTGAAGGAAAGCATTACCCTGGTTCGGCCAAACTCCAATTTTTCTGTACTAACAATATGGCTGAATATGAAGCTTGCATTTTTGGGTTAAAAATGGCGTTAGAAATGGAGATTAGGGATTTACTAGTGTTCAGCGATTCAGATTTGCTTGTACATCAGACTCTCAAGGAGTGGATCACTCGGGATTTAAAATTCTTGCCTTATCATTGCAACTTACTGGAGTTAGCAAATAAATTTAGGAGTTTGGAATTTCGGCACATTCCACGTGTCAGAAATGTCTTTGCCGATGCACTGGCCACCTTATCTTCGATGATTCAACATCCAGACGAGTTGGTAATTGAACCTATCCACATTCACTTGCAAGAAAAACCTGCTCATTGCCTAGTTGTGGAAAAATCCCCCGATGGCCGTCCCTGGTACAGTGACATTAAGGAATTTCTCAAAACAGGGTCCTACCCTCCTGAGGCCGATGTGACTGCCAAAAGCTTCTTGCACAGATTATCATCTAAATTCTTCTTGAATGGAGAGGTGGTATACAAAAGAACATCGGATTTGGGCCTTCTGAGGTGTGTTGATGAGGACGAAGCAGAATACCTGATGAAAGAAGTACATAGTGGAGTATGTGGATCACATATGAATGGCCACTTATTAGCAAAGAATATCATGAGGACCGGACACTTTTGGCTTACTATGGAGCATGATTGTGTAGTTTTTGTTAGGAAATGCATCAAGTGTCAACTGCATGGAGATGTTATACGCACTCCCCCTACAGAATTACACAGTATGACTGCTCCCTGGCCATGTTCAATGTGGGGCATGGATGTGATTGGAACCATTGACCCTCCCACTTCAAATGGGCATCGACTTATTCTAGTGGCAATTGAATACTTCACCAAGTGGGTTGAAGCTGAATCTTAAAAGCATGTGACTAAGAAGGTGGTGACGGACTTTCTAAGAAAGCATATCATTTGTCGTTTTGGAGTGCCGGAGACATTAATCACTGATAATGCCAAAAATCTCAACAATGACATGGTGGATGGTTTGTGCGAACAGTTCAAAATCAAGCATCGAAACTCCTCTATTTATAGACCACAGATGAATGGAGCAGTAGAGGCTGCAAATAAGAACTTGAAGAAAATAATCCGTAAGATGATTGAGAGACACCGTGATTGGCACGAGAAGCTCCCTTATGCATTAATGGCATATAGAACTGCTATTCGGACTTCTACTGGGGCAACTCCCTACAATCTCATGTACGGAATGGAAGCAATTTTGCCAGCCGAAGTCGAAATCCCTTCGTTGCGCATTTTAATGGAGGCCAAACTGGAGGAGGCTGAGTGGATTCAACAACGTCATGAGCAGTTGTCTTTAATCAATGAGAAAAGGTTAAATGCCATTTGTCATGGTCAGTGTTATCAAAAGAGGGTAGCCCGTGCTTACAATAAGCGGGTTAGACCACGAATATTCACAGAAGGAGATAAAGTGTTGAAACACATTTTGCCAGTACAAGAGGAAGCTAAAGGGAAATTTGCACCAAATTGGCAAGGCCCTTTTATTGTCCAGAAAGTTTTGCCCGGAGGAGCGCTCATTCTTGCAGAAATGGATGGGCAAGTGTTCCCTCAACCAATCAATTCAGATATGTGTAAGAAATTTTTCATATGATAAATGAAATTTTCCTTCTAAGGTTAATGTAAAGAATAGAATGAAAAGTCAGGCCTTCTTCCTTTCCAATCAAACATTCTATCCCTAGTTATCCCTTTTTGAGCCTTCAGAGCAAATCATTTCGTTTGACAACCACTAAGAATCGCAAACCCCACACTGGGCAAGTTTTGAGTTAAAAAAGTTAAGAAAAAGATGAGGGGTTTCAAAAAAAAAAAAGAAAAACGGAGAGCGAAGAAGATGAAAGAGAAAAGAGCTTCAGTTGAGAATAAATTAGGGCAGGTTTTGATTTAACCCTAAAAATAGGATTGGCGTAACAATGCGATCTCAGATCATGTAAACCACGTTTGAAATCCGCTTTCAAGCCTTAACCTTTTCTAAGCACCCCACCAGACCCCATTACAAAAACCTAAAAGTCCTAACTTCTGTTCGTTATATTACCTTTTTAGGACGATTTCTAATCAAGTGGCACATGATGTCAAAAACATCTTCACCTATTTTGCAAGGGAAGAGTTGTATACTGATGCCATTATTTCTTCAAACACATTTCAGGATTAATATGGGCGACAGACAAGATTTGTTTGTTAAGTGAAAACCCGCAAGGGCACCTTAAAAGAAAAAGAAAAAAGAGAAAAGAAAAAGAAAAAGAAAAAGAAAAAAAGAAAAAAAAACAATAGGCGGGGGCAACCTTAGTGAAAACCCGAAAGGGCGCTAAGGTAGGGTTTCATAAGGAAAAGTGAGTTTGGATCTGAAGAGCTGGTGACTTAGTTCATTGGAAATTCTCCTTACGTTGTGATTCTGTTATCAAGCATTTGAACTTCCGAAGATTGATATCCAAAGGGTCAAAAGTGGCATTTAGTTTGAGAACTTAAATGTTCAATTTATAAAACACAAAATTTGAGTATACAAGCTTATCTATTTGAAATGATTTTTCATGCAATAAAAGTGGAGGATGGTGTTTATATTGTTAAGAATTTTTCATCATGTTCAATTTGAATGTTTTTCATGTGTTGCATGGTCACATTTGTCTCTTTCGTTCTATCAAATGGCAATACCTATGATTTATCGAAGAAAGTGGATACTAACTGGCCTATTGGTTAAATATGAGGAATTATGGGAATTTGATATTGTTTGCAGGGTCGGTTTGAAGTGCTCGCTTCGTCAAAAGAGAAGCCCAAAATGCTCATGTTTACACTTTTCTTGAAGAAGAGGTTGATTGGATGGTGGCGGTATTATCTATCATTATTCCTTTTCTTGCAGGTCTGACAATCCAATAAGCATCACATTGGGGCAATTTTAGAGGAAGTTGTTTATCTTTTTCTCAAAAGTCTACGAGAGTTTTATGTGAACAGACCAAATGAAGAATGAAGGCAGGCTAGGGTATGGATCCCACTGACCGATTGAAAGCAGGCTCGGGTATTCATCCCACTGACCAAATGAAGAATGAAAGCAGGCTCGGATATTCATCCCACTGACCAAATGAAGAATGAAGGCAGGCTCGGGTATGGATCCCACTGACCAATTAAAAGCAGGCTCGGGTATTCATCCCACTGACCAAATGAAGAATGAAGACAGGCTCGGGTATGGATCCCACTGACCGATTGAAAGCAGGCTCGGGTATTCATCCCACTGACCTTTTGAGTTTACATGTTCCAACTCACAGCGGAATAACACAGATAAGTATTTGGTGTCCACTTCTTTGTCTTAAGTTTCGTCGAAACTCAGACAAAGAGGGGCAAACTGTAGACACCAAATTTTTACTTATTTCATTTTTATTTATTTTACTTTTATTTTTTAATTGTTAGTTTTTGTTTTTTACTTATTAATCTCAGGGTTTTAGTTTAGACATCTTTTTAGCATTTTAGATACTAAGTTTTTTTTATTTATTTCTTAATCAGTCGCTTAATTTTGATTTAAAAAAAAAAGAAAGAAAATTACTCACAAAAATATACTTTAACTCTTTAGATTCAATCAATGAATTTTGTTGTTTGTTTATCCTAAATTAATGGGAATTAGTGAAAATAAAAGGAAAATTGAAAAATTGAAAAAAGGAAAATCGTCACTCAAAAAGAAAATCTAGGCTTTTTTATCTTTTATTCCTTGTTTTTGTTCATTTCATTCGATTGTTTACTTAAATTATTATTTCGGTTGATTTTAGTTTTTGTTTAATTAAAGGATTCATTGTTAAAAAAAAAAAAAAAACTCACGCGCGTTTGCTAGGCACGCTCTCTGCTTCTCCTTAATATCATATTAGCAGAAAACAAAGCCGCAAGTTTGCAGCTGCATTTTTCTTTCAGTTCTTTTCCTTGTTTTTTTAGCTCCCTTCGATCATGTTAGTACTGTTACACCTGGCTTTCATCGACAAGCCAAAAAGCAATTTAGAAGTTGAGGCCAATCCGATGGCTGAGAGAGAAACGGTGACCTGAAGCTGTTTATGAACCATCGAGATGAGATTTTAGGGTTGGAGTCTGATATAAAAAGGGAGCTAAGGATCTAGAGGGGCTGGGGAGTTGACGGCTGAAAAAAGAAAGGGGCGGCTGAGTTTGAGTGAGAGGGCCAGAAGTCTGAGAGAAAAAGCCAGAGAATCTGGGCAGCGAGAGAACTAAGAAAATAAGCGAGGGAAAGGAGAGAAAAAGAGTATGTGAAACAGCCGAGAGCAAAAGGGAGAGTGATAGATAGGGCGAAACGAGAAGGCCAAGCAGGGGATCGCTACTGGGAGTGCGAACCTTCACTACCGCCAGCCTTCCATCGTCACCAGCAGCTCTTCACCGAAGCAAAGGAGGAACAAAGGAGTAGCAGCAAGCAGAAAGAGGAGATTTTCAATCGAACGAAGGTCCTGTTATCGATCATTTCAGTTCCTATTTGGCTCTTGAAGGGCGTAAAGGTAATAGCTTTACCTGTTTTTAGTCGTTGGATTCATGGAGTACTGAAGCTTTCTCTCTTGTATGCGTTTTACTGTGTGAATCTGTTTAAGATGATGAGACTGTGAGAAGCCTGGATGTTGTTCGGTGCTTTGATGACTGATGTTGAGGTTCCTTTTGTGAGTTTGGCCTTTTGTTCTTGGGTCCTTAGGTTGAGAGTTTGCTGCAACAAGATTGAATCTTTCGACTTGTTGCAGCAGTTCAGACATGTCGGCTTCTTTTCCTTTGTTTTGCTGAAGCTGTGACTCATTTGACCTTGATTGTTTTGTTATCTATAATTGAGTGAAATACCATGAACAACACCTGGAGTTAGAAATGTGTTTAGAAAGCCCATAACAGAAAAATCCGCTGCAGCGTCGTCCATGTCGTCTTGGCTACATTGTTTGTCTTCCTTTTTGATTCACTGCTGTTATTCATGGAACTAGCATGACTGTGTTTGTTTCAGTTTAGGAAATGTTCAGTCAGAGTATTAGGAAAATGAAACTCTGTTTAAAATTTGCTCATGGAATTTGTGGTCCTCTTGTTTGGCTGAAGTTACAAGCACAAAATCTGCTGCGATACGCATGAAAAATTTTCGGCTTATTGCAGCAGTACATGCGGATAGTTGTTGCTCCCTTTTGTTTGCTGAACTTGTGGTTTGGTTAACATGTTCCTTTTGTCTGTTGTTTGATTGTTGTGTCATAAACATATCAGCTATCAATTAGTTTTGAACCTGAGGGGAATGTTAACTATGCAATTAGTATCCATTTCTTGTCTAGGTTCAATGACTGGAAGAGCTGAAGTTTCTTGCTCATAAGCGTAGCCTATGTCCTGTTTCTCTATGATGATTTCAGTGTAAGGTTGAAGAGTGGGATGTGTTTCTTTTGTTGTTGTTGAAAGTTTTAGTTGGCCGTTGCAAATAGATGATAAATATAGCTCTGCTGCATTTTTTTTTATACATATATGGTTGCACTTTCAAGCCATTAGGAAGCACTGAACTTAGATTTCGCAGGGAGTTCGTGGCTGAGTTTCTTGCTCTTCCACGATTATTTTTTCTTTCTTTTGAGTGTTAGCTCACATTTTTTGTTATTCTGAGATGAATTGGGTCTTGTGTCTTGTTTAGAAGTTGATGCTTGCCAATGATATATTTGTTTGGCTATCAAATGCCGCATATTGCAAAAATGGCAGAAGGAAAATCACTACAGCTTTTGCCGCAAGTTTTGGTTTGCATGCATGAAAATGTTTTCAAAAATTGCATTTCAACCCTACAAGTCTCCTTTTATGCTACTATGGCCCAAGCAATTAAAAAATTAATCAAATTGATCCCTTAAACTTTCTTTTTCCTTTCAATTGGAGCCTAATTTTGTGAATCATGGACTATTTAGTTATTTAAATGCTTTCAATGATCCAACTTCATGTTTATCTGGTTATTTGAGATGCCTTGACCCTTTCTTTGCTTTGGAGGGTTTTGAAGCTAATATTTCCTTCATTTCATTACCATTGCAAGGGAGGTAACTTCTATTTTCTTGATTTTATTTCTCCTACGTGCTCCTACGTGTTATGTGTGAATATGCATGCTTTAATTCGCTTTTCATTTTATGTTAATTGCCTATTTCACTTTCTATTTATTTCGTCTTGTTTAATTAGCAAGTGATTTGAAGGCACTTGAATGCCAAATTTGTAATAGTTAGGTATTTATTTTATTTATTTTATTACGTTTCCCCCCTTAGATTGTAGTAGGCTTCCCCCGAATGTAATAGACAGTGCTTTCCTTGCTTTATTCGTTCTGTGTGATTTGCATGCTTACGTGCTACGTGTTACTCGCTTTCCTAGGGTCTTGCATCTAGATATCATGCTTACGTGCTATGTGGTTTATGTGATTTACGTGTTTATTTGCTTTATTATACTTTACATGATTTATTTGATTGTAATGAATGTGTGACGTCACCGCACTAGTCCAACGCTAGTTGTGGTCCTTTTTCTCGTCACCACACTAGTCCAATGCTAGTTGTGGCCCTTTTGTTCCGATTTCCCACTAGTCCAATGCTAGTGAGGATCCATAGACATGGGCTAGTCCAATGCTAGACCCTTAGGAGCCCCTCG